GTGGCAGAGTAAAGAAAGATAGAATGAGAGAAAAAAAAGAGAGAGGGAGAGAGAGAAAATTTCCTTAAATTGCACTTTGTAGCTCCTGAGAGACCTTACACAGAGATTTCGACGCCCACGGCGAGGGATAACGAGGCACTCACTCCCCTCCCCTTCCTCTAGGTCCCTCCTCACATCCACCTTAACCTCTTCCTTCTCCTCCCTTATATCTCTTTCTCACACACTCTCTTTATATTACAATCTTTCTCTTTCTTTCTCTTTCTTTCTCATTCGTTCGGTCCCCCTTTTTTTCGTGAAGGTGAGACACACACCGGTGGGTCCTACGTACGGCCCACGGAGACATAATTGATATCTGGGAAGGAACATAGTGGAAAGAACGGACGACAAAGGTGGTCCCTAAAGTGAGAGAAAGAGACGAAGACGAAGACGAAGACGAAAAAATGACCTTTAACGGTATCATCGAAGCGAGAAGAAAAAAGGATCGGCGGCCCGTGGACCACCGCGATCGCGCGCGAGAGAAAAATCTTCTTCTGGTGGTAGTGATGGTGGTGGTTGGCTTTATTTTTCGAATGCCGACAAGAAAAAAAGAGAGATAAAAATGAAAAGATGAGCACCTAAGCGCCAGGACCAGGGCAACGTGCACACGGTCAAATTCTTCTTTCCTTCCTTCCTTCCTTTCTTTCTTCTTTCCTCTTTAACGTTCCCTTCCCTCTAATCCTCAGCTTCCGCGGCCTGTGCAAACATTACGAACCGACCACACCCCTTTCCATCCCTCTGGACCTGTACTAATTGCTAATCACCCTGTACGATGCCCCCAAGAAACCTTTGCCACTTTCCGTCTTTTATATTTCACACATATGAACATACTCACACATATACACGGTTATTCGTGAAATTTATCTTTTTATAAAATTTTGAAAGAATAGAATCTTTATTATTATACGTCGAGAGATTATTTCTATTTTCGATTAACGCCAAATCAAATCGATCTTATTATTCTTCAATTATTTTTACACAAATTAGTGAGATTATCATAACTCGATCTTTTTGCGATTCGTACTAATAATAATTGCTAATTGTTGAAGAATATTTTTCTCATCTTTTCGATATCCCACATATGAGAATATATTTTTCTAGATTTCTTCGAGTTTTTAGCTCGTTAAAAATGAACGGGTGGATTAAAAAAAAACAGATATTTATAGGTATCAAATAACCCAATGATATTTTCTTCCTCTTCGATTATTGATATTGACGCTTTAATGATAAAATCGTCAGCAATTTTCTAGATCCCCCTCCCCCGTATTAATTACTAATCACTTAAGCGCATTTTTTAGTTACTCTCCATCTTTTCGATCTCACCCTCATCATTACACAGATATTCTTCATTTATTTATTCAATAATTTATTCGTTAAAAATAAACCAAAAATAAAAAATCACTTGATTATATTACAAATAGCAAAAAATTATCTTTTAATTCGATATATATTAGGTGACGTTAATCGTTTTTTTGCTCTTCTTCTTCAATTATTAACTCGCAATTGATAAATGTGAGAATATTTTGTTAAATTCCACTGTTTACAGTTGAAATACATTTACAAGCGAATTCCACTTTCCATTTGCAAAAGCGGTTTTGTTGCAAAGTCGTAATCCGTCGTTCACTTGTGGCGACGTAAACGGAGTCAGAAAGTGCGCACGTAGTGTACGACTAGAACGCGTGATAAACGAGATTATACCGTTTTATTCGCTATCGTGACGAGATAATAAGTATGCTGGAGGGGGTGTATAAGGTGCTACGGAATCGCCACTACGAGGAAATCCAGGTTACCCTCGTTCTCCCGTAAATCATGCTAGAGTTAGAGAGAATGTGCGATTGCAATTCCACTCTTTCTATCTCTCTCACTCTATCTTTCTATCTATATCTATATCTATCTCTCTTTCCGGTTTCTCTTGAATAATTGCGTCTACCTTCAACCACCTGCGGCGTTAATCCAATTATTGAACGTTGGCTCGCGCGGGTAACAGATGAAAATTTTTAACGAGCCGGTAACTCCGTCGGAAGAGCAAAAATAAAAGATATATCTATCTATCCTTTGTAGATGGTCGGTCTTCAAACTGGAAAGTAATTATTACAAAAAAAAAAAAAAGGAAATTCTAAGTTGATACCATTTTCATATTCATATTATTCTATGTTCATATATAAATAAATTGGTAGATATACGAAAGAGTTATTGAAAAATAGATTATATGAAAACCATCAGAAAAATGTCTTGATTTTATCGTTTGTTTATATGATCAAAAAATTATTTTAATATAAAATAAATGGTTCCTCTATTTTTTTGACATAATTGATTGTCATAACGATCAGTACAATTATTCAAAATAAATCACGAACGGGTTTCAAGTATGTCTTTTTTATATTATTCGATATTATATATAGATAGAATTATTCGATAAAGTTAAAAGAGAAAAGGAAAAAAAAATGAAAGGTAGAAAACGCGAAATCGTACGTTATATGTACTATTACTCTTTCATCCGATCTTAAGAAGATCGTGTTTGCTTTTGGAAAAAGGATTTCAACGATTTCTTCTTCTTCTATCAATACTACTAGTACTATAACTACTACTACTACTACTACTACTATTACACTTATTCTTCTTTCCCCATCCCCACTTTTGGTTCGAAACATTTGCAAAGCCGTCAGAGATTCGACGATAATCTCCAAGTGGATTTCATCTTTTGCCCGTAAAACCGAGCGAGCGACCCGAGGAAAACAGATAAACGGATCAGCCTTTGACAAGTTGGGTTCACCATCGAGGAACGAAGAATGGAACTAGGAGACACGAAAAGAAAATTTCACGAAAGAGCGAGAGAGAGAGAAGATCAAACAGGTATTTCAAGAATTTTACCGTTCTCGAAATATCGCTAAAACCGAATTACGCCTCCCTCCTCTCTCTTTCACTTTTCTTCAACACAGTCCAATACATTTAAGTAAAACGAATAAATTTTTATAAATAAGTAAGTATTTATCTACTCCAATAGAGACCCAATCTAAACCATTGGAATTCATTGAAAAATACCGACCTTTTCCTTCTGTAACATTTCCATCTCTCTTTTTACCTTCTCGCTCGATCGCGAGAATATAATAGGAAAGGTAAACCAAACTAGCCGCTCTTGCATCGTCAATTAAGCGAAACGTCATCGAAAGGGTCTCCCTTGCCCTAACCAACCAACCCCCCCTCTCCCTAGTCCTCACCCAACTCCCTTTTCTTCGCGCTTCGTTTAACCCGCGATTGCGGATCGTTTCTCGATTTTCCGCCACTCAAACGTCGTTTCTGTTCACCTAGGAGAAACTTCAACGTGGAGCACGTTGGGAAACGGGGAAAGGAAGGAGGTAATAAGGGAGCAACCTAGGATGTAAGGAAATAATAAAATAAAAAAAAAAATAAAGAGAGAGAGAACAAAAACTTGTCAGCGAGTTTTTTTTTTAATCCGAACAATATATAGGGCCCCCCTTTTACCCCCTCCCTTCTTCCGTCATCGCATCGCATTTCCAAACGGCGAGATGATCATTGTCTCGATATTTATCTTCGAGTTTCTCTGGCCTAGTATTCGAAAAACCATTGTGTCGTGGCTTCTTAAACGACGAATAAACCATACCCTCTACTCCGCACCCCCTGGAGTTACCCTAACACCGGTACTTTCATAGTTGACAAATAAGCCAACAAAGGAAAACTCTGGAGGCAACCGACGTTGCAGTTGGTCCATTTAACCGCTACTAAACCACTTCGATCGGAATCCCCCCTTTTTTTTCTTTTTTTTCTCTTTTTCTATGAATTCGACTATTTCTCCTTTTACACCGATTTACTACTTCATTTCATAGATCTTTTTTGAATAACATGCTTGATATATACATATATATATAGAATACAATTATCAAGAATCGTATTATCGTTTAGCAACAGTTGTTGTTAAACCCATTTGTAACATTTCTTACAAATATCTGACTAATTTCAAAAAAATCTGGGATCACTCGACTTATTGTCGAATTATATTTCAACGTATTCTATTTTATGTTTGTATAATTTATTTGAAAATATCAAACAAGTGTTATTAATAGTTAAAAACATTTGAAAATGAGCAATAATTAGAGAGCTCAAATTTGTTCATGATTTTGTTTTTGTTAGCAGGCATGAAACTTTGTTAACACTAGATTGCCCAAGGCAGTCATTTTGACTGTTTTTTATTTTCAATTAGAAAAACAATTATGTATATAATGACACAATTTCTTAGAATTTGGTTTTTATTGTTAATATTTACTAATAACTTGTTGTATAACTGTAAATAATATAAGAAATATTAAAAATTAATTTTAAACAAATTTGTTTACACATTAGTTATTTTTTCACAATGCAGTCATTTTGACTGTTTTTGGGCAATATAGCTATACAAGAAATCTCGGGCAATCTAGTGTTAAGCATAAAAAAATTTATATTTTTAGGTAATTCAAATGTTCCAGCCATACTATTTTTATTACTTAAAGTATTTTGATACTAATCAATTGTTTCGAAATATATTTTTATCAAATTTGAATATATAATTATTTTCAAAACATAGATATAGATATTATAAAACATCGATAAGGAAGAATTTGACTTTGATCAATTGAGCAGAGTTTCGGAATAACTTTGAACGGTTGAGTTGGCAGCAGCACCGTCTGTACAACGGTACATAAACGTGCTCTTAGGATAATTTTAAAATCCTAAATTACCACAAACTTAAAATATAGAATCTAATAAGTGATTACCTAATTTTTTATCATTTATCATGTCTAAAATATGCTCATTCATTAGCTACGATTTAATAATTTTTTTAATACTATACTAATCGTCATATATCATATACGGTGCAACCCATAAATTATTCGTGTAAGAAAAAATAATAATAAAATATACAAAATGATAATAAATATTTAAACTAAAAAAAAAAAAATATCACTCACCACATTAACAAAGTCCTGAAAGGTAATCGCATCGACCTTGGATTCTTTTGCTCTAGCGAGCAAAATATCTCTCTTGTTAGCTGGTATTTCTGTTTTCCACTCGGCACTTTTTAACGCTACCAAAAAGTCCTCCAATGGTATCTCTCCGAAACCCTCAGGATCGAACTAATTACATCATATATTTCTATATATTTTCATATAAATTTTCTTTTAATATAAATTAAATTGCATATCTAAGTAATTATCGTACCTTGTCGAACAGCATCCGCCATTTCTGAAAAAGAAAAAAAAATAGAACAGAAAATAACGAAGTAGGACACATGCAAGATACGTTTCGGGTCAACGATCATAGAAACCGATTATAACATTTATGAACACGATTATACACAATATAAAGCAGCCAAAAATATTTTGTGAAAATCTTATTGATCTGAAATGTTAAAGGATAAAAGGTAGAAAAGAGAGTAAAGGCTCTCTCCCTTTTATATCGAACATCTATACGGAAAAGTTTACATTGAGAGAAAATCCGCCTTTGAAAACGATAATCCGCTCATTCGTCCTGGTTCTCGTATATACACGAAAGAAGAAGAAGAAGAAGAAGAAGAAGAAGAAGAAAAAGAAGAAGAAGAAAGCAACGTTATCCTATTCGAATTCTGGAAAATTGGCTCGATAGAGAAAGACACCTGTCGTAAAAACATTTTTTCCCGACATTCCAAACTCTCGAATACGTGCCAAGATGCAAGGACGAAGGATGCTGTTTCCACCCTTCCTCCCTCCTTCTCCAAACAATCTTCAGTACACCCTTAATTTCTCTCTCTCTCTCTCTTTCTCTCTCTCTCTTTCTCTCTCTCTCTCTCTCTCTTCCCATGACTGATGGAATATTTCTTGACAGTTTATATGGGTCAAAAGGTTCCTTCATTCACAATCGAGAATAGATCGCACATATAAAAGGGAATATGTAACTTTATCGAATGATTTCGTATGTAAGACTTAATATACAAATATAACAACAAAATATAGATCTAAATCAAATCCGTGAGGTTTTAGTTAGTTATAGGTATAACAATTCTATTCTTTCTAGTTACACAAATTGAATATTTATTTATAAAATAATGGTACGTCTATTATTCTTTAAAATAGTTACCATTATTTTTATCTAACTTTTGATCGATGAAAAAAAATCTAACGAGAATTTTGATGAAATGAATTTAATATCCAGACACCGAATTGATAACTATGTCTAATAATAAAAGGACAAAGACAAAAGAAATTGTTCAAAGGATGATAAAAAGTGATTATTCGTGCTTACATCGTTGAGTAATTCTCTTCTATACTCGGATTCGTCGATATCGATCTCAGATGCGAGATCGGTATGATCGGTGACGTATCCATCATAGTACGCGCTGTTAGCTTCGCTACGCGCATAATCTTCCTCCTCGACGGCACCGGCTATGGTCGGTATCGAGGCACCGCTTGCCAGTAGCATTACCGCGCGTGGCACAACGTCACCGGACGAATCTCCTCATTCCTCCCTCTTCCGTCTTTTTTCTGAAACGTTTAAGCAAAAATTATATACCCTCTGACAAACCAAAATTTTTAACATAAAATCTACAATACAGCACGCCATTGTAAAAGGAGTTGAGCATTCCAATACTGGAAATTTCACACACACACACATATTCTGTTTTATTATTAAATATCGATATAAGGAAAAATATTAATATCTTTTTTATTGGTGTAAATAATAATAATAATAATAATAATAATAATAATAATAATAATAATAAGACTAAACTAAAACAAAATTCATCGTATCAATAAATATCTCTCTTTCTAGATAACTGAATTTTATGAACATTTTAAGAAACTCCTATTATCTTAGAAGTTATATTATTACAAAACTTTGGCATTTGTTAATAATGAATTCCCTATAATAATTGTTTTAATTGAATATATAAAATAATTCTAATTAATTTGAAGAAACGGAACATTTGTATTTGACCAATTCCTACGATAACATCGATCGGTCGCATTCATCTTAGTGCTGGTTAGAGCAATACCCTTGAAACAAACCAAGTACTTACTAGAATATACTAGGGTGCAGATCGTGTTATACTAGTAAGTGCGATGGCGCCGTTACCATGGCAATTCATCGACTCTGCTTGTCTGAGAAGAAACAAGATATGTCGTCTATTTGCTCACCTCTCTTCTTTCTTTTTCTCTCTCTTTTCCTTTTTCTCTCTATTTCTGTCTCTTTAACGATAGTTCGACCTCTCGACCGATAAAAATCAAGGATTAAGTTGACAATCGAAGGAGGACACGCGAGGATAAAAACGTACACCATCATCCCTCCCCCCTCGTATGTGAAGCTACTTTTTCTTTAAATAGTTCAATCGTTACGATTTAACAAAAGGAACTCCTCAAATTCAACATGTCTTCTTATTTAATCTTTACGAGTCGAGATTAGACGAATCGATTGAATTAGTTGAAAACTTAAAGTCCTAGACAAATTTAAAAAGAAAAAAAAACGGATTTATAAATCCGATGATCAGAAAAGAAAAAAGGGATGTAAAATCCTACAGAAACAGAGTAAACGACACGGACCCTAGCACGCAATGCATTCAACGCAGTCTCCTAAATCCCGCAGTACAGGGACTCCCCTCTTCGCGCCATTTTCTTTGCTCCTTTCGCTTGCTCGGCACCCTTCAATTCGGTGCAACGTCATTGCGGACCCACGGAGACTCACCCTTCGATTCGACTGAACTACAACTCGACGACGTCATAGTCGTCTCCATCCCGCAGCGATGGTGGTTTCACCCGCTTCTCTCCCTTTGCTGGCTCTTCTTTCTCCCTATCCCTTTTTCTTCTTCTTCACACTACTTCCACTTTGTCTACTTTTCTCCTACTTGCTCCCGTATACATGTATATATATATATTTACTTACGTACGTAAGTACACACATCAGCCGCATTGTTAGTCGCGTAAACCGTTAACTAGAGTAGGATAATCTGACAAAACGATGACATCATTTTAACACAATCCAACTATGGTATATATATACATGCATAACATGCATCTAGATAGTATTCTTGATTTCATTTGTTAATTCTTTCACGAAGTAAAGTTAGAAGAAGAGACGTAAGAAAACGTGGAGGACGTTAACCCGCTACGTCTTAAGGTCGTTGACCTTGAAGAACGTACAACGTCGGACAGGTATCGTTACGGAAGGTGCTTCGTCTAACACCCTCGCATGTATCTACTTACGTCGGAGCTACCCTAGTATGAGCGTTATGTTACGCCTCGTGAACCACCGCCTTGTCTTTTTGGTTTTTTTTTGCTTTTTTTTTATGAACGAAACCTCCTACGAGTTTGTATCTACGAAGAGAGATACTAGATACATTTACACGTGTATATATACATGTATATGTTAGAAGACGGTAACCTTCCGTAACCGTGACACGCGCGGGCGTAACAGACCGAACAAGATAGAGAAAACGAGGCTACGGTGCACTGGAGCGTTACTTGAGGACGCGTCGCACGCGACTTAAACTTATACGAACATTGCAAAAAGAGATCTACGATCTTTTCTTTTATATATTGAATAAAAATATTTATTTAATTAATTTATTGCATTTTACCAAAACTACTTGTTCCTTTGCTCTTCTTTTCAATATAATAAGAATATTCGTATTGTTAAGCGAGTTCTCCGTTACCACAAGAGACCATACCGGTTGCAACATAATATTTGTAAGTACATTGTATTTTTCTTACTTATTGTACGAGAGACAAGATGTATGTTGTTTTACTTTACTTTCTTTCTTTTACTTACTATGAATTTCTACGAAAAAAAAAACGAATTAGTTAACGCAGATAATTTTTAAAAAACAAAATAATTGTAACTAACCTGTTACGAGGAGCCTTTCTTCTCAGTACGAATGTGATCCGATACATAGATGTAATTTAATTTCATCGACATGATCTTGACATGATTTAGAAATAACAATGTTCGAAATTATTTTTATTTTCGATGAACAATCACGTGAAAATTAATCTTCAAACACACACATGCACGCACGCGCAACTCGTTATTTTGCGAAACAAGAATAGAATTCTCAACGCGCCACGGTTTTGGCGGGAGAAAGAACGATTCTCATTGGCCATTCGTGTTTCCTTTGAAAATGATCGATCTATCGCAAGCTTCACTCGATTGTTTTGCTATGTTTACTCAAAGTTATATGTAAATCCTTATCTAAAATATATTAACGAAAGATAATCAATTGAACTATTACCGAAGATATACGAATAATAATTACAATTAATGGAGATATCTTTCGTGAAATCAATCAAGAATAATCCCTTCCGAACAAAGTCATTGATTTTTGATTAAATTCGGCGAACGATTGTGTTAACGCGACAATGCGTTCGAATTAATGAAAACTCGAAAGAGATAATATAAGAGTCGTGGGAGTCCTCGTGTTTTCTATGGCGATAGCATCGAAAATCGTGAGGGTGGAGGTGGTAGGCGCCATGCGGAACTGCGGCAACGTGCTGCGCGGTACATTTCGATCGATAAGAGACCGTTTTACCGCGGCGTGCTCGACCGATTACGATGAGGCGTCACGTGTTGGCTGCCTTGCTAGCCTTTATTCCTCTGGTCTTTTAATATATAGAAGTATATTTACTATAGGACAACAGCAAATACAATGAGGGAAAGAACAAAATCGAAGTTGAGGTGCTAAAAGTCTGGGACTTGAGGTGGAAGACTCGTAGGGACGAGATATAAAAGACAAAAGTAAAACTAGCACGACGAGAAAAAAAACGTTGGATCGGCAAACTCGTAGCTAACTGTAATGTTTAGTTAGTTTGCCGAATCCCCAGTATTATAGCGACGTCGTCGATGGAAAACGCGTGACGCGACTGACGAGGGCTTTGCCGCCCTCGTCCGCTGACCCACCATCCCCCTCTTTCAACCCTACACTGCCACCCCCTAACAACATCCTCTTACCCCTCAGCCTATTCGTTTTACTCCCCCACCTATTCTCCCACGCGACAAGCGTTTACTTGAACGTGCACGCTAGTCCATACTTTTTGCATCTACTTCTTCTTGTTCATCGATGAACTATTTTTCTTTTTTTTTCTTCCTATTTTCCTTCCTTGAGACGTCATTTTGAATAAACTTTGTCTTATTTTTAATAATAATTTATGAACGAGACTCTTATTTAAATTAAGTAAATAATTGCATGTTATACGTGCTTTTATCAGATTAAAATATTTATAACGTCATATTTGATTTTTAAAATGTATTTGTTTTTGTTTCATTCTAAATAGAAAAATTAAATTGCGTCTGATATACAGTTGACACAGTTACGTCAAATGTCACCTGTCAAAAATTTCCTATCCATCCAGCAGCGCCACCTTCCACAGTCAACATTCGCTATGTAGATATTTTAAAGGTTAGCTTATAGGTTAAGTTTTTCCGTGTCTCCCTTTTTCTATCTCACTATGTCTTTTTCTCTTTCTGTCTAGAATTTTTGTTTCTAAGTGATGATAAGATTTCGAATGAAGAACGGAAAAATAGAAAGTATGTCATATTTAAGCGAGTGGAGAAAATCATTACGTGTTCACCATGTTTACCGATTTGCTAACAGTACTTTTTATATTCAAAGACATTTTTTAGGATTAATGTGCCTTTTATTTTGCGTTCCAATAATACTTTTGTTTTATCCTTTTTTTAATAATGTCATTTGTACACCTGTCACTCATCAACCCTTGTCTCAGTGTCATCATTATAAATACAATAAAACATATCCATCTACTTCACCTATCAGAACATCTAAAGGTATCACTTATAGAATAGCTATAGTCAGTGATTTAGATGATGATTCAAAAATCTTAGATTCTAAATATACTTGGCATAGTCTTATGAAGACTGGTACTTTATTCTGGAATCCATCTACAAATTCTATTTCAATAGTCTGGGTCGAAAAGACTTTTGTTTTATCTTCATCCTTAGCGATGAAAGATAGAGGCATGGAATTGTCAGAATTGATCACATTTGATGGTCACTTATTGTCTTTCGATGATCGTACTGGGGTAATTTATATTATTGAAGACAATCAGGTTTATCCTTGGGTCATTTTACTTGATGGCAATGGAAAAAATCCAAAGGGTAAGATATTTCATTAAAACATATGTTACATAAATGAATGTATTTTTTCTTATCTGTGTTGTAGGATTTAAGTCTGAGTGGGCAACAGTTAAAGATGAAATGTTGTACGTTGGCAGCATGGGAAAAGAATGGACAACACCGTCTGGAGAGTACGAGCACAATAATCCTCAGTGGATCAAAATAGTTTCTCCTAAAGGAGAAATTAATTCTGTAAATTGGATTTCAAATTATAAGAGATTGAGGCAAGCGATTAATATTGAATATCCAGGTAGGCTAACAGACATAACATAGCAGCATAAAAGTAATTATTAATAATTATGTTTTCATTAGGTTATATGATACATGAGTCTGGAGTATGGAGCGATGTACACAAAAGTTGGTTCTTTTTACCAAGAAGATGTTCCAAAGAACGCTATAATGAAACTAAGGATGAGACGATGAGTTGTAATGTTTTATTAATTGCGGATGAAAACTTTAAAGATGTTGAGGTAAATTGTAATAATGACATTTAGATTAGATTTGTATTTTTAAATTATAATGTATTTATTTAAAGAGTCCATTTCATTTGTAGGTTAAAATAATTGGTGAACTAATTCCTACCAGAGGCTTCTCGAGTTTCAAATTTTTACCAGGATCCGATGACACAATTATAATCGCATTAAAAACAGAGGAATACCGGAAGAATACGGCCACCTATGTTATGGCATTTTCAATTAATGGTACTATTTTAATGCCAGAAATGAAAGTATCGGATAAGAAATTCGAAGGATTAGAATTTGTATGACGATTCCTATGATAATGGGTTAATTATTAATAGTTTTTATTATAAATAAGTGTAAAATATCTCTAGTAAATCATTTTATACCAAAGCAAACAATGAAAACTATTTGATTTGTAACAGTATTCGAAAGTATATTGTCCTACGACTTGGACAGAGGTACCACTTATGTTTTCATTTACATAGAATAATAGTTCATTCCAGATGATAAAATTTATCATATCGTAAATGCAAATTTTGAATAATGTAACAAAATTGTAAATATTTGCATATGTACTTATGTATATATTCTCATTGAAACAATTTTGTCATTTATGCTTCGTAAATTAGCAATAGAATTATAAATTATTTAAAAAAATATTTTTTGGGAGAAAAGTAAGTTACGCCAAATTTCTGTAAAGTTGAAAGATTTTCAACTGGTTGTGATATACAATTTTATAACATCAAATTCAACGAAAACACTCCTTCAATGCCAAAGTTAATAACTTCGGCGTTTGTTGTCATAGAATAATAATAGCATCAAAAATAAATTTGAATTCTTTGAAAATTAAACAAAATTTTAATAACCCGTTTCGTTTGTTGATATTTCTATAGCGAAAAAATTCGATCGTTCCCTTTTTACGTGACATAATGGAAGATGTAGTAGCCAGAAGTAAAAGAGTAACGTGAGTGCATTATTGATCACTTTCCCTGAATAAATTCATTAATTTCTTGCATGTTATATTTAAATAATAATACAAATTTTAAATTATCCAACAATATTAATAACGAAAGCGAAAACCTGTCGTGTTGGCGTTATCAAGGTCGCAATATTTCTAGGATAAAATCAATAATCACCTATATATGAATTCTGAAGAAGTTGGTGGCAGCAGTACTGCGCTCAGAGGGTTTAGTTTACACATCGCGTCACGACGAAAGCTAGTCCTCCCGCCCAGTAGAAAATTTGACTCTCTTTTTCTTTTGATTTCGATTGTTGGTCCGACTGAGAACGATTGCGGTGGTAACTCAATCATCTTTTTTGACAAAAATTCGCTATACTATAAAAACTTGAAACAAAATTGATCCAAAATTGGAATATAAAGTTTGAAAGAACACGAGAATATTATTTTAACACTTGTAAGCTGTATAAATAAAAAAAAATTAATATAAAAAACAAAAATCTAAAGCTAAATCTTATCAACACCAGAAAAAGGAACATTCCAACAGGAGTCAGTGAAACATTGAATTTCCAACGATTTATCAAGCTTATCTTATCGAAAGACGACATACTTTTTTTTCCACCTTGGTTTTTTGCATATCTTTAAACTGCAACCGAATACTTATCCTCAAGCATTTTTCGAGTATACTTGTCCGGATGAGGATGACGCGACGAGTGTAACGCGCCTGACAACGACGTAACATCCGTGAAGAAGAACCGTTTATTTTATAAAAAGTTAGTTTTGTCCTCATTTTCATCAGTTAAAACGTAACCCACGTTTCTTTAGCAAGTACGATTACAACAATAATATTTTTGATTTTTACAAAAACGTATCTATATTTTTCTTTACATTCGATCGGATACAGTGGAATGTTTGACACGAACGATGAACACGTGTTTGACGTCAAAAGAGGAAGATTACGTTGGCTGATGATCGAATGTGAACTTAGATAAGGGCTACTTTTTCTTCTTCTTTTTCTAACAAGGAAAAGAAAGAAAGAGAGTGGGAGAATGGCATCAAATAAGAATAAAGGATCAACAATTTCGGAATGGAGTGTCGCGAGAACTGGGATATCTTTATTGTTAAATAACAAAACGGAGGAAGCTGAGGCATTGTTCACTGGACATCCTCATAGTTTCCACGTTAAAGCGGGTCGTTGTTTCGTCCTTTTTATGGTAAGTGCATTTTTTGATTTATTTTTATATTTACTAGATATTGAAATGTTTCAAAAGACTTGGTACTCAAGAAAGTACGAGATTGATCGTTCTAAGTTTATCGAATTAACGGATATATATATAAAGGCTTTATTATATTAACCCGCGTAACTAAGAGACAAGAAAAGCACGCGGTGGCTTCTCTCTTGTTCATCTATATATGTATGATACCCTATATATACCCAGAGTTCGTTTTTATTTTATTAACATTTAATTAATGCAGATGTAAACTCGACTGTTTTATTTTTGATATTATTTGCCACATCATGATACTATATCAACAAAGAAAAATGATTCTTTTATAACTTTGATTAATAATCAAAATCGCGTGACCAGGAACCAGTAAAAGTAAGCCCCTAAACTGGGTCAAGTAATACCGAATAACTCGATTTTTCTAGCATGCAATTTTAGGTCGCGTTAGACGGCCAGAATGAACTGGTTTTATTTGCAGAATGCATTGATGAGCTTCGAGGATGATAAACTGCAACAAGCCATGCTATTGTTGAGAGACATGGAAAGGGAATGCGCGAACGATATCGGTTGGCTTAAATCTATGAAGAATAGAGTATTTAAGGCAGAGGAAAGCTCTGTGAGTATTCGAAAATAATCAAATAAATGGTTTAATTAATTATCTTTGTGCTAATGAATATAATATGATATCGTTAGAAGGAATACATCGACAAATTGGAGAGGCAGATAGTACTAGCGGATTCGCAAGTTTGCTCAGCAATATTAACACTTCTCCAACAAGAGCTAACCGGTTATGTTCGTGGTGGTTGGATGCTGCGTAAAGCCTGGCGTGTTTACCAGCACACGTATGTGCAAATATCGCAGCTTTATAGGCGTACCTTTGGCAACGTACCATCGGGTATACAAATTATTTTCAATTCGACTAATTTATGAGCCTCGGTATGAGAGAACTCGCATAACGGTACCAGATCGATTTTGACCTATTTGCGAGCTCTTTTAATCATTACGTATTAATCCTTTGAAAAACAGGAAAAGGTTAAAGACGAGCTTGTATTCCCTCCTCCCCCGTTTCCTCTTCAATAAATAATTAATTAATCCTTTTCAATAGGAAATTTTATTTCTCACAGATTTCGAGGCGAACTGTAGCATACCAGGAAAAAATGGTTCTTGTTATTCCCTCCAAAGTCCATACAGTCCAGGTTCATCGGAATGGTCGATTCCATCCTTCAATGGTTCACCTGGCAACTCGACCCCCATCACCTCACCATCAGGTCTGCGAAGCTCCCTATCAATGTTCTTCTCGATCACTGGCATCACGTCCGAACAACAGACACCGTAATTGTTGTTTATTCTTACAAAATTTATCCTTCTTTTTTGTACACTATACTCGACGATCACGTTATTACAATTTTAACTCAACACTATTCCGCTTTTTTACTCTACGATCAATTTTTTCTTTTCATTTCATATTTTTTCTCGAATCACTCTCGGTCTTTTTTCTACTTTTTGTAGAACACATCTTTAGGTTTCGTTTTTTTCTTTTCAATTTTTGTGAATATTTAATATTTTCTTTACCGACAATCACGAATACTATCCCATTTAATCAAGGAATAAGATATTGTAGGAAAAACTGTTTTTTTGTTTTGTTTTCTAAATAACAATAACGATCGAACGAATAATATTTCTCTTTAGTTTTATCGAACCGTCCGAAGTGACCCGATTGATGTCAGCCGTGAGCTTTGGTTATGGGATTTATCAACTTTGCGTGAGCCTCTTACCACCTTCCCTGTTAAAACTAATTCATTTTTTGGGCTTCGAGGGTGATCGACGAGCTGGTCTTACGGCTCTCATGTATGCTCGTGTCAGTGAAGATATGCGTGCACCATTAGCAACGTGAGTAACACATTCAAAAATTATATCAAAAAACATTAACCCGCTATAGATAAAAAATACAAATTTGTAAATAATTTTTCCTACAGATTATCCCTTCTCTGGTATCACACGATAGTCCGACCATTTTTCGCTCTCGATGGTTCCAACGTAAAAGCGGGTGTTAATGCAGCGAAACAATTAATCGAGGAATGTCGCATGGAATTTCAGAATTCTGCCCTTTTTCTCTTCTTCGCAGGCCGAGTGGAACGTCTCGAAGTAATGGATTCTTTTTTAATGACCCTTTTAAAAAACTATCGAAGTTCACCCTTACCTCATCGATAATCATTTCTCATTGAGAATCACTTAACCAGTACACGATTTTATCGAAACCTAATTTTTATTCATTAGCAATGTTTTGATCGACATTCAATGATTAGTATTTGTATTCTGTCATTATAATTATTATACGTTACACGTATTGCATCAGATTTACGTTGGTATTTATAATTAAACATTGTTCGTTGTCAAAACGTGTCACTGAAGTGATTATTGATGAAATGTTTGTCACTGACAATGAGATCAAATTGAACCGCTATTAATTATTGACGAATAATAATGTTTACGTGTGTTACAGTCGAATGTTAATGCCGCCCTTGAAGCTTACGACAAAGCCGTGGATGCATCGAGTCAAAGAGAAGTGAAATTATTGTGTCTGCATGAGGTTGCTTGGTGTCACCTGATACGTTTGAGTTACGAAGAAGCTTATCGATCTTTGATTCAATTGCAGCAACAGTCTAGATGGTCGAAAAGTTTCTACGCTTATTTGGCGGCAGGTAATTTTTTCAATATTTTACAAATGTCATAGTTAACTTGTGATTATAAATAAATGTTTGACAATTTTTCTCAGTATGTTGCGGATCAAACGGAAAATTTGAAGAATTGATGACGATGTATCGAAAAATTGTTCAATTGGTCGCCGATACTACGAAGGAAACACAACTCGGCCTTTTTATTTTACGAAGAGCACCGAAATTGGTTGATCAAGATACAGGTCGAGTTTATACAATTTTATACTACAAATTACTTGTCTACGAGTTATTATACCTTTGGAACGCCATGCCATCTTGTTCTATCGAAGCATTACGAGGAATTTTGTTAGATTGTAAGGGCAACCGTTCGGAAGAACCAATGGTTGGTTTGGCTGATTTGATCGAAGGTGCAGCTTACTTGTATCTTGGTGATAGACAAGCGTCTATCAGAAGTTATAGAAGTTGTTTAAAACGTCGCAATCCGAACAAGGATATGTTTGATCAACACGTCAGCGCGTTTGCCCTTTATGAACTCGGTAGTAGCCTTTGCACCAATGACGTGAGTATATTTAATCAAAAATTAACATACTCTATTTAAATATTTAATTAACATTTGAAATATTTTGTTGTTTCAGAATATCGAGGAAGGGAAAAATTTCTTACTAAGGGCCCAAACTCAATATAGAGATTACGATTTTGAAAGTAGATTAAACGTACGTATACATTCGGCCTTAAGAGATTTAAACTGATGACAAATAATACGAGATAAACAATCCATAGAGTATATAAGCATACGAATTTTAGAATTAATTAGATCTGCGTGAATGCGCGCTTCGAATCGATTTTTACTTTACAAAAAAAATTCAAATTTCATTTCATTCAAGCACTCATTTATGTATATTTTATACATAGATAAAACAAAAGATGAATGAATGTGCTAATATTCGCATGGTTCTAGCGATGATTGTATGCGTTCCACGCGTATGGCTATTATAAATCTCTATATGATATAGGGTGTCTCATTTGAAGGAGAGGTCACCGAAATATTAGCTTTATATTAACACGTTGAATGCTACGTTTATTTTACATGATTAGGTCGTGGCACGAACGTAACACGAATTAATTATTAAATGTTGAATATTAAATTGAAATATTATTTAAAATAATATGAGTTTAAACGTGCAATCGTGTGCAACGCATTTATCTTACCGGAGGACACAACTGGTAACTTCCGATTTTGTAAAATATGTTACCAACAAAAAATATTAAATATCTTATATTTAAAATCAAAGGCAAAAAAAATTGTATCAAATAAGTTGTGAAATATTGTGGTTTACTTTTCCTTTATTTCAAGTGTTTTAATATGACAGATACAATATGCGTACATACGTGTTATATGTATAAATAAAACTATTTTCTTATGTTCTATACTGCATTAATTTCTTTAAACCATTGTAATATAATAATATAATATTGAAAGATCTAAATGCATTGGAATTTACACGAAATATGTGTTTCTAGTAATCTTGGTTTCACCGATCACCGGTGATCACACGAACAAACAAAATTTTGAACACCGGTGATGGTGACTCCAATGGCACATTCAACGTGTTAAATAAAATTAATAATTTACAAAATGTCAGAAAATTATTGAAAATTATATACCGTGGTTATATTTATAAAAATGTTCGATCAAGCGATTGTATCTTATTTTTTTTTACCAATATTTCATATGACGTTTAGCGGAACACCATGACTGCGCTCGATCTCTGACAATATTCAACGAAACGGCTATTTATTATGTAATATTTATTATTAATATTATTATTATTATTATTATTATTATTATTATTATTATTATTAGTATTATTATGGTATCTATCAGATGAGCGTTCGAAACGCTTATTGCTGTGTCAACGGAGGAAATTGTCAAGCCAATGTCGCGAATCCTTGCCTACGTCCTTCCTGGTATCAAAAATTTATAAAACCGCTTGCTTATTTTATCATAACCTCGCTATTAGGTACGTAAACGACTTATTAAACGGCACTTTTTCAAAACTTTTCATAGAATTTCTTTATTTTTTAACTTTTTCGTAAATTAGCTATGTCGGTGTCTCATCTTTGTGATAAATATTCCGCAAGTTCGTCTTTGAAAGTCATCAAATCTGACTTGGGAAACTTACGAAGACATTTAAATACACTTTCGGTAGAACATTAACAATAATCTTGATGACAATTTTAATAACATTTAATTCTAAGTAAAATATTTATTATCTTTTTTGTTTATTTTAATGAGATGGAAGTAAAAAATGTCTTAGAGACTCGCGACAATTTACAAAGCAGGCTTAAAGAAGTTGGATTCGCTATACCAAAGATATCGGAGGCCATTCTTAAATTGAGAGACGAGGTGTCCGAGGGTAAGAAAGGTGCGCGAAATTACGAGAAAAAATGATTAATAATGTTTATTCCGATTACTTTTTATCTTTCATTGCTACAGGAATCGGCATACATACGCAAAATATGTTAAAAGCTTTTTCACCAGAAAGTGTGAGAAAAATGGTTCAAAGCGAATTACAAACGTACGACGCTGATAAAACAGGAATGACGGATTATGCTCTGGAAACTTTAGGTTCTTCAAAATTATTTAACTTTCAAACGAAACAAAAAACTCTATTTTTAAGTTAATAATTTTATTGATAAATTCTATAATTTTTTATATTAATAGGTGGTTCTATACTTTCCATAAGAGATACCAAAACCTATACGGTGGGTTCTCCAGTTTTGACACTTTTTGGTATTCCCATTTGTACTCCACATAATACCCCAAGAGCTGTGATACAGGTTGCTGCAATTATTTCTTTTCTTAAGTATACTTTACACGATCAATAATAATGACTCTAAATTATCAATGACATTCCTTTCGATTATTCACTTATTTAATATCAAAAATATTATCATTAATATTGGTCTTATAAAAGTACGCTTTATATTTTCATTTTATTAGATTTAATCAAATAAATAGAACATTTAAACTCTATTAAAATTTCAATTGAAGAATGAAAATGTACATAAAAAGATTTATCTTACAATTAGCTAACAATCTTCGGCATTACTAATTGTTGTTCTTCCGGCAATTTTTTCTTTGTATCATAGCAAACAACCAAGTCACTTAAAACAGTAAAAATATGAATGAAATGTTTTGAATGTATATATTATATGAATGTTTTTCTGTGTGTGTTCATTACGTTGTGTATACACTCTTACCTTGTGACGGCTTCTTGATTTCGTATGCACCAGATAGGTGTCCTTCCAGGAGAATGTTGGGCTTTCAAGGGTTCCAGTGGGACCGTTGTTATACAACTACTAGGACCAGTGTACATATCCGGTGTTAGCCTCGAGCACATTTCTCCTTCTATATCACCAACCGGCGAGACAACTACTGCTCCTAAAGAATTTTCTGTTTGGGTAAAACGTATCTTTCGTTTTTTAACTATTTTCGATTTTAACGATTCTCTATTTTTATTTTAGGGCTTGGAATGCTTAGAAGATACGAATAGTTTCTTATTTGGCGAATTTACCTATGACAATACCGGTCATTCCATACAGTATTTTGAAGTCCAAGTAAATTGATTTTTAACATCTCTTTATCCAACGATATATATCATAATTTTTAATTTTATTTTTAAATTTGGAAAAGGGGGAAAAATATTTAAAAATATGTTTTGATTAAAATAGTTTGACGTAAACTAGGTGTCATTAGTAACGACAACATATTCAATTAGACGTCATTTGTAAATAAGATGACGGATATAATTGAGTATGATAAACAATGGTCATTTCTTTTTAGAATAAAGCAAAGAAAGCATACGAGATCGTAGAAGTGAAGATACATTCGAATAATGGCAATCGCGACTACACCTGCGTTTATAGGATACGAGTTCACGGTACTCTTAGGCAATAAATTAAGTTAATCTATTATATATTTTTAATTTATACTTAAATATTATATATATATACGTATACGAATATAGAAATTGAATTTTGATAATAAGATAAGATAATATAAAATAAAGACAAACAAACAAACAAAAGGCACACGATGAGAATTTTGATTCAACGTAATCGTCGTTTTTAATTTATTACATTTGTACATATTTTAGTATCCTTCTACGCAATTAACGCACCCTCTCGATACCACGATTTTTATTTTTCACTCACACAGACACGTACATATTTATTCATTTGCTCTCATAAATATTCTCTCTCTCTCTCTCTCTCTTTTCTTCTAACTTTTTTGAATTTCAAACCAAGGCCAAAGAACCATGCTAGATCATTATTATAATCATCATCATCATTATTATCATCGTCTTCTTTCACGACTAACGCTCACAGATATACGCATACACGCGTGCACAGAACATTCACAAACATTTGTAACTTTGATATAAGCATTTATGTATGTATGGAAATAAGGTAAATACACGAACTTATACGAACTTATTCGCATACATAGATAAACGCGTATATTATTATTGAATCAATCAGGCAAACAAGAAAGGACGCTTCTTTATTGGCAGCCCTACAGGACTACACGTAATATATTTCTTTTTTTTTTTTTACTTCTTCTTCTTTTTTTTGTGAATTTTTTCTTTTTTTTATTTCATTTTTATTTTAACCTGTACTGTAATTAAAATAGCACGACATATTTTACCGGCCTACGGTGACGGCCTGTGACTTTTTCTTTATTTTTCTTCATCTTCATCTTCATCTTCATCTTGATCTTCTTCTTCATGTTTATCTTCTTTTTCTACTTCTTTTGTTTTTCATATATATATATATAGTTTTTTTTTTACATTTTTTTTTTCATTTAATTTATTATTTGTTTAATCATTTTTTGTAATTTGTTGTTATTTGTTGTTGTTGTTTTTGTTGTTGTTGTTGTTGTTGCTTAGACACTTTTAATAGTTCGACGATTACGCACTGCCTTCTCTACGGGCGAAGAACAGACTCGAGAGGCACGCGGCGAAGAAGATTTTTTTTAAACATCGTTACGTTTCTCTTTTTTATTTTTTTTTTTGCATAATTTTTGTCTATGTTTCTTTTTTCTTTACTTTTTTTTTTGGTTGCATTTCATTCTTTCTATCATTCCCTTTTAATTTTGTTTTCTTTCCTACCGTAACCATTTTTTTTGTTGACGATAAAACATTTACAATTAAAACTCCCCTACCCCCCGATGGTTTTCCCGTTCGTCGTATTGAATGTTATCGGTTTCTTATCTCGTTTATGAATCCACAGTGCGACTAGAATAACTATAATTCGGAGGTCAGTCGCCTAATTAAATGCTATCGAGCTATCGAGACTCGGTCGTGGTGCCAGAGAAACGATAATGACGCCAACGGTGGTACGAACATAATATTATTATCTTATTTAATTATTTTATTTTATTTTACTTTATATTTTACTTTATTTTATTTTCATCTTCATTCTCTTTATATTTTTTTATTTTTGTTTATTTGTTTTTTTTTAATTTGCATTAATTATTCTTTGTACGTTCTCGTGAAAACGTGAAAAACACCGAGAACGCCTAAGCTAATCCCACGAGAAATGTTCGATTGTCTTTGTCGAGTATTGCGAGAAGGAAAAAAGGTGGGATTTTATCGAGTTTAACGTGAATTAGGGACACGAAAATATTTCTTTTAAAAATGAATTTTCTTTAGAAGAAAAAAAGGAAAAAAATGAAGACAAAATATTAACACAATGATCATTCAAGAAAAAGAAAAGAGACCTTCGACATTCGAGATTATTAACTTTAATGACAAGTTTGAAAATGTTATATTATCGATCAGAATTGTTGAATATTTTTTAAAATATGAATGAATTTTAATAATTGACCATGACCTAAATATTATTTTTTAATGTTATTCTAAAGATATAGAAGTATGAGTTTATGTTGATTTAAATCGCGATCATCGAAGGACACCCAAACTCGATTATTTCCCACTATTGTACAAAACGTGTGTGATTAGAAAATTTTCTAAACAAAATATTTAAAAAATTAAATAATAATAATAATAATAGAATAGAACGCATCATGCGTTCGTACCATCGTCTGCATTTCGAAATACACGAGTATATAAGTATCTAAATACATACTCTGTTCAAATCGTCTAATGAACATCGATAAACACGAGAGTCTTAAATTTAAACCCCTTATCCCCCCCATTAAAATGTCTCAGAAAAGCACCCCTTCAAGATTTAATAATAGACATTTTCTTTTTATCTTCTTCTTCTTCTTTCACTATTTTTCTTTTCTTTTTTATTTAGTTTATTTATTTGTTTGTCACTTTTTTCTCATTTTAGAAATTGATACCGAGTGCAAGGGGAGAACCTCGGTTTCGGTTTTAGAGTGAGTGTACTTGATTCCATTTTATTTTCACTATTTTTTTCATTTCTTCTTTTTTTAATGATATTTCTATCTCGTTCCCTTTTTCTTCTTCTTCTTCTTTTTTTTTCTTCTCTTCCTCCTCCTCTTTTCTAATCTAATTTGGTATACCGGCCGTATATGTTCTACTCTTGAAAAATGTTTACAAATTGTACACAATGCATGATTTAGAAATATACACTAAAAAGAAATTTTTTATTACAAGAAAAATGATTACACAATTTTGATACACTATTCTAACGTTCATATAACCCTTTAATCATTTTTTTTGAATAGAGGTTAGAACTAGTACGGCCAGTAAACACCTGATTCTCGATCTCTCTCTCGATTTTTTTCTCTTCTTTCTATCTCATCTATAATTTGTCATTTTGTACATAGAAAATACGCGCTAATTGACTTCGTCATCGTGGCTATAGCATACCGTTTGAAAAAACGACTGAAGCGTAGCCCATCAGACATTTTGAACAGGGTAAAACATATTTTTTTTTTTGGAATATATTATTTCAATAACCGACAAATCACACGCATACTAAGCACACAACTTTTTTTCTTGCTGTCTAAAAAACTTAAGTAAGTAAGTAAATATACATACATACATACATACATACATACATACATACATACATACATACATACATACATACATACATACATACATACATACATACATACATACANATACATACATACATACATACATACATACATACATACATACATACATACATACATACATACATACATACATACATACATACATACATACATACATATGTATATTTGACTTACATAGTCACATAGTTACTTTTCCACAAGCGATTACATCGTACGGCACTTTCAAATTTTGACTACTTTTCTCTTTTCATTATTACTTTCTTGTTTTTTTTTAATTTTTATTTTTTAGCTATATGTTTGCATTACGTGTTCATGTGTGTATGTGTATATTAGGGTGGGTCAAAAAAATCAATTAGTTTTTTTTTTACAAGTAACACAGAAAAATGGGTTGCTAGACACCTTAAAAAAATTCTCACCAAATATGAGCTCTTAATTGTAATAAGAAGATCCTCCGCATCGCAGTTTTTTTATTTTTTTTCTCAGTCCAATAGAATAAAATTCATACCTCATCATTAATTGATTGTATAGAAAAATGTTCTAGAAGAATTTTATAGGAAATTTAATGCTCTACAAAAAAGGTATCTTATATTTCTTCCGTAAACCTCACCATTTGAATGATATTGAAGATTTAAGTTTGGTTATTTTAAGACAAATTTCATTTTTGTTTATGAATTTTATAACTCGACAATAAATGACTATTAAAAAATGCGCAATACAAATTTTTGTAGGAAATTAACTGCTCTATAAAAATGGTATATTATGTTTTGGCGTAATATATATATATATATATATTTTAGCAACAAATCAACCCCTCCTGATCGAATTCTATTGTAAAATTGGCATCGCAAGTGATTTGTCTCAAAAAACCATTTTTTTTTTCATTAACAAAATTAATATTATTTATATAAAAAAGAAATGAAATAAAAAAACAATAGTTAAATTTATCATAAAAATTCGAAAGATTAATGAACAATTAATGAATAAATTTGATCGTAAACAGTACGTTCGATTTAAATTTGTTGAAAAATCAATTGTGCAATACTAATCTTTGTTTTGTAATACGCGAGTATATGTATGATTGTTATAATTATTGTATCTATAAGAGTACCATCATTTAATCACCATAGTACGAAAGTTATGTTCAAAGTTTTTAGTCAAAATGCATAGAAATTTATTACTTTAGTTTTCTTTTCTCCTTACTTCATTTTGTTAATTCATTTATATCATTGATTTTTACTCCGACAATAGTTTAAATAATATCGCACGTGATAGTATCAAAATAAATCGCACCAAACGTTAAGAGTATAGAATATTTCGTAAAATGTATGTATGTACAATTGAGAGAAGATATCTATTATTATTATTTATTTTTTTGTTAAATTTCTTTTCATATTGTTCTACCTCGAAACACCGGATTTTTCATCCGCCATTTTGTTCAAGTCTTTTTCATAATATCGAGAAAAACAAATTCTGTGTTCTACTCTCTTTCCTCACCGCCATTCCTTTCTATGATTTTCTTCTTATCCGACGTATGCGTTTATTCTGTTTTTTTATTCTTTTTGTTTTCATTTTCACTTTAATATTATTTCTTACATTTTTTCCTATTTTGTCTATGTGATGTCCCTATTATAAAGTTTTACCCGTTCGTTTGCCGATGTTTGCTGCTAGTCGTTATAGGAAATACACTACGATTTAAAGTATATCACAGATGTCAACGAGAAGAATGTTCTAGGATAGAAAAAGAGATAAACGAAGAGAACTAAACGAAGAGGATCGAACGATTTCACTCGTGATTCGCCACAGGAGGGATAGACGCTAGTTTATTTATCTAAAGTACGTATGAATGAATATATTTAATATGCGTGTATGTATGTACATATATATAATATATATTCGAATGAAACTTTTCCTTTTTTTTCCATTTTTTTTTCTTATATCATTTTTTTTCTTTTTAAATATCTAAATGCATTTGACTAGATCGAACGTGTCATCGCTGAGAGTGAAAAGCCAACGAAGAAGTTCTTTTCATTTTTTTTGTTCCTAAACGAAGAATGATTATTAAAACTCGTCCCCCATTTTTCGAAATAACATTTATTGCGATCGTCATATTTTTTTTCTTGGTTTTATATTTTTTGTTTCTTTTTTTTTTCTCTGTCAATTTGCAACTCACGTTCAACAATAATAATAATTGTTTCTAATTATTTTCATTCTACGACTCCTGATGGCGATAAACGCGAGTAAAAAGGAAAGGCGAGGAAGTGTGGTCCGATAAATTGTTAATTTTTGTCCGCAGTAGACTCGATTTTTAAATCTACCTAAGAGATTTCTACAAATTCACTAAATTATTTATTATTTTCAATTATTTTTTCTTCATTTTTTTTTCTTCTATTTCCTTCTATTTTTCTTCTACTTCTTCTTTTTCTTCATCTTAAGAATCACCTTTTTCTTCTTCTTTTTTTTATTTTTCTTGACCTACCAATTCCTACGAATATGACTTCCATGACGCTTCATTAGCGGGAACCGAGTTTCGATACCGCTGGCAATAAGAGATTGTCATAAGTTTTCAGTGCGTTATACGTGTTGTGTATGTCACCCCTCATCCTTTTTTTTTTACTGTGTAAGTTTTTTTCTGCGTGTGGAAATTTTGTTTAAACGAGATATCATAGTACTTAGGAAAAGAAAGTTAGAGTTGCCGATTTCAATTCGACCTGATCAATCAACTTTTCGTTCGATTCCTTTGAATGTTTCATTCTAACGTGTGTTTGTGTGTGTAAGAGAGAGATAATAGATAAAACATGTCCAAAAATTTTCAAAGGGGAAAGTAAATTATCTCATACGTAAAAAAGTATTAAACGATGATAATGATGGCTCACGATTTTTACAATAAAAGAATAATTTTGTTAAATATAATAAAACTACGAGACAAGGAATCGAATATAAAAGATTAAGAGAGAAAATAATTGATCGAAAAGTTGATCGAACAGTCCCAAAAATACAGCGACTACTAACCACCTCACCCTTTTAGTATTATTCTTAGCCTCGGATAATAATACGAGTTCGATAACTCAAATCGAGATTATTACGAGATTGAGATGAAAATATAACATCTTTTTTCTCTTTCTTCTAATATATTATTCTCTACTGGTCACCACACTTGAACGATGAATATTTATTTTTTTTTCTAAAACTCATTTAAATAAGAGATTCGATAATCCCTCTTATTTTATTTCGTACCCATATTGTCCCCCTTTATTCCCCACCCCCGCCCTCTTCTATATTCTTTTGTTTTTCTTTGGCATGTTAAAACGGCGGCAAAGTGACTAGAATATAACGACTATATTGTCATGCACTACAGTCTTTCTTATAGAGCCCATCATTATAGACGCCGTCGATTATACTAAATACTTCATCCTAGTCGTGAATAAAATCACGGCAGCAATGTTAGTTATTAAGAGGGATCGGAAGGTCCAGCCAATGGTGGTGTATCATTTTTTATATTTTCAACGTTATCATTTTCTACTTGTTCATCGACCGGCACTGAAATCGACATAGTGATATCAGGTGTCTCGTCGTCATCATCGTCATTGTCATCATCATCCTCAGCAAAAGTTCTTCCAAAATGTCCGCTGCTGCTGATTGAATCGGTGTCATCGACATATATTCTAACGTCCGTACTCATAGCAGGACAAGTAGTACACTCGACCACCTGTACGAGGCCGCTAATACTACGACTAACATCACTACCACTCATAGTACCACTCTCGTTGATACTTCCGCTTGTTGTACCACTTTCGCTGACATTTTCAAACGCCGAACTTTCGTCCGGCAACTCGTCCAGTAATTCCTCGGCCGCATAAATGTGAGCAAAACTTTCGACCCTAACGATTTGTGCACACTGGTCACTCGTACCGGTAGTTGACGTACCGGATGAAGTTGCACTTTTAAGCCTGGACGGCCTTCTTTCGTTAATCACCGATTGCACGTCGAGATCCTCTTCTTCCGTTTGACTCACCCGTTGTTGTTGTTGCTTTTCTTTATTATCCTTCGACAATCTTCCATTATTTTCACCATTGTTAGTTCCTAAAATACGAGAAATATAGACAAAATTAAGAAGTTTGGATACTATTTTTTGTTATAGAAAAAAGGATCAACTTACCTTCAATCTTTTTCGTTCGAATACTCTTAGTATACTCGCTAGCATTGCTTCCAGTTCTCGTACTACTTCCTGTAGCAACACTAGGACCACTTATCTCTGATTGCGACTGACTATCGGTCGAGATTTTATGTGCGAAACTTGCCTTGGATGGATAAATCTCGGCTGTCGGTAACAAATAACGTTCGTTTTGATATCTCAAACCGGTGGTTAGGGTTGACGTTGAACCACTTGGTGTAACTGGTGAGGAACTTGCCATTGGTCTGCTTACGCATAGGAACGACTTGTTCTCTTTGTTATTGCTCGTTACCTTTATATTTTAAATAAATATTTTATCGTATTATTTATACAATTTGAACACACATATGATTTTTTATATGTGTTTTATTACTTACTCGCAGATATTGACTCTCCTGAGGTATAACTTCCTGACTTTCCATCTCGTAAATACGATGAGGAATGATTCGCGGTACGCTCAAATTGCATACTGGTTTTTCAAAGACCTCGGTGACCTCGAAGTGCATTGGTAACAAGGACCTTCGTTGATTACTCGAATGGAAGGTCTGACGGCGCTTCGATTTAAACTTGGACGGTCTTGGAAACGAGCGGAAACATGAACTACGACGTCTTTCTTTCACATTTATTGTTACCGAAGTATCTAACAAAAAATAACATTTATTATAATAATAGCATTAATATTATTTACTGAATAAAGTCAAATGAATCATTTGTAAGTCAAATTAATTTACACCACTTAATTTTTTTATATTTAAAAATACTACTATTTTTTATTTTATAACAATTAAAATCAATCTAATAAATAACGAATAAAATTTGAAACTCGTATACGAGATGAAATTTTATTATTTAAACTTACCATCGAAACTTCTTTCCTTTGGTGGATTATAAATAAAATTGGCCGGCAAGGAACGAACCTTGGCAAGACCAGGTCTAACAATTATCTTCTCTCTGGTTCCTATTATCGAATCGAATTCTCTTTCATCATCCTCGTCAACTTCATCCCCAACGATTCGTCTTTCAAGCATACCACCACCCTCTTCTTCTTCTTCCTCAACCTCAAGAAGTTCCTCTCGTTCCGCAGCCAATTCTCTTTCCAATTGATTTTCCATATCCAATTCATCTTCCATCTAAAATAATAAATCATTTTAATTAATCCCCCTCATTGATTCTACAATATTCCAAATATGAAATGAATTTTTTGAAAACACGTACCTGTTTATGACTCTCTTCTAGGTGTTTCATCAAAACCGCGACTACCACATTGACGAGAACGAATTGCGCCATTAGTACAAAAATGACGAAAAATATAGGCGCTATGATAGTGCTTACGCAGCAATTTTTCACGCAATCGGTAGATTCATCGCAATCGTCTCTAAGCGTATCCTTCATTATTCCATTCCAATTATCACCTGTTGCTACTCGAAAGAGAGTAAGGAAGGCCATACCAAAATTACTGAAGTGTGCGTGTTCACCGAGTCCTTGACAAGGTGTTTCGTCACTGCATTCTACAATTTTTAATTATTTTATTATCTTATACAACACTTGAATAGTCATAATAATCGTCAAAAAATAAATTACAAAATTTACAAAAAAAATAAAAAAAAAAACAAATTCGTCAACAATAATAATAAAACAAAGTATTTACCTAATCGACCAAACAGTTCTACTCCAAGGGCCGCGAATATAAAGAACAGTAAGAAAAATAGCAAACCCAAGTTGCCAACTTGCGGTAACGCCTGCATTACCGTGTCCAAGAGGGCGCGTATACCTTTGGCCATTTTTAACAGTTTCAAAACTGAAAACATAGATCATTTTATTCATCGTAACCATTTAAATTAGATACATTTGTTATTTTTTTATTTTCATGACAACTTACCTCTGGCTATACGAAGTACTCGCATAACGCGAATGATGGTTGGATTGATGGGTATAATCTTTGACTCGACTTCTTCCAAAACGATGCCGACTACTGATAATATAACGATCCCTACGTCCAATTGGTTCCATCTACAGACATAAAAGATATTTTTTTTTTATGAGATATATAAATCAAGAAGATCTAATGGTAATATAATTTAATGGAAGTAGGAAGAGAAGATAGAAAAAAAGAAAGAGAAGAGAGAAGAGAGAGAGAGAAAGAATAAATGGCAAGTTTAATGATTCAAAGTTTTTATGATACGAAATAGAGATTAAAAGTTTTATTTATAAAAATATATATGTGTATGTGTATATATATATATATAGAATTAGAAGTGTTTTACAGAAAGATAAAGAATACTTTAATGATAAGAGATATATGAGCTCGTACTTGTCCTTCAAATAAAGATGTATACCAAGGGCCAACAATTTCATGAGCGATTCCAGGATGAATACGGCGGTGAAAAAGTAATTAAATATTTTAAGGGCGTAAGTTAGAGCTTTTGGCATCATGTAAAATTCCATTGCCATCGTTACAACGTTCAAACCAATTACAGCTGCTATTGCCAAATCGAAATATTTCGATGTTACGACATTGTGAATGAATAGTCGTGTTTTCGAATAATTCGTGTAATATGGTGGCTCGTGCATTTCTAAAAAAAATAAGAAAACAATACGAAAAACGTTGGTTTATTAAATAAAATGAACAAAATTATATCAAAATTATTGATTTTTGTTTTTTTCATTGGACCAACTTCGTCGTTTCTTTTCCATTTGTTGAGCCCTTTTCATCGCCCTTCTAACACGTTCCTCTTTTTCTTGTTCCTCTCGACATCTATGAAAGTTTTCAACGACGACACCAACGAACATGTTCAAAACGAAGAATCCAACCAGAAGGATGAATGCAATAAAATATAATAAACGCCATTCCGAATAATTCTCGATCGGCTGGAATCAAATTCAAATATTAATATGACACCATTTATATATCTATTATTTAAGGTAATTAAATTTAATATGGAAAACATAATTTGAAACTTTTACCAAACGTAGAGATATTTTATTATACACGTTGTCAAACTATGAATATTAATTTCAAATAAGTTTAAATATTACAACACGATTATTTTCTTTACAAAATAAAAAATCAGATCATTCTAAAAATTACTTGTTTTTTTGTTTCTTTGTTAATAATTTTTACATACAAAATATTTGTTGTTATATATATTATAATATACATCATATTATATATATATAATATATCTTATAATATATATATTATATTTCCTTTAGTGTACATTTATTCAATAAAATAGTATAAAGTAAAAAGAAAAAAAATGATGCATGTAAAATAATTAATGTATTACATAATTTTGAATAAGTTACGTTGTTTACTCGATATTACACAATGTTTGATATTGGATGTTGTTCCATATTAAATACATTTACAGTATACATAACTATACTGCAGATAAGAAATACATAACAGATGTAGAGTATATCTATCGATCGAAGAAGTTGTTACCTGTTGATCCACACCAACCGCATCCAATCCGGTATACATGATGTTGACCCAACCATCTCGGGATGACAAAACGAACAAAGACATAAGCGCCTTACCGAGATCATCAAAATTATATTTCCTGTTGAGCCATACGTTACGCTTATCCGCAAGACAATCCGTTTTATTGCGAACATTTTTGATATCGGGACCGTCGCAATAAAAAAACGCACCCTTGAACAGTTGAACACCCAAAATTCCGAATATCACAAAAAAGGTACAACATATCAGAACAATATTGCCGATTGGTCGTAAAGACGACAATAAAGTTTGGACGACCAACTTTAATCCAGGAGCGCGATTGATTACTCGCAATGGCCTCAACGATCTCAACAAACGAAAAACCTGTTAAAAATAATCAAAATTTATATTTGTTAAATATAAACATAATAATAATAATAAAGATGATAATTAAAACTTTTTTTACTACGACGATATTTTGAAGAAAAAAAAATGAAAGAAAAATTTAATACAAAAATAAAAAATAAAACACATACCCTCAAGATACCAAATATTCTTGGACTACTGGAAGAAATTAATGACATCATTAAATCGACGATAGATATTATAACTAAGGATCCATCCATGATATTCCAGCCTGACGTGAAATAAGCGTCCGAACCATAAAGCATCCCCGTTGCTACGACCTAAATCAAAATCAAACAAATATTATCGAGATATAATATTTAAATAATATAAAAAAAAAAACTATTAACCATTTGCACTCGTTAATTTTATATTTAAACGTTTTAAATTATTTTAAAAATTATTTTGTAAAAATATCAAGTCTAGTTCGATATTAAAGTTGACGTAAAAAATGTGATATCGAGTCGTGCATGACGTAGAAGTAGTAAGGGTCAATAATTCAAACGAAATATTATTTTTCAATGATTCATAAATCGTAATTGTCAAATTACCTTGATAAACATTTCTACGGCAAATACAGCTGTGAAGATATAATTGGCAGTCAAGAGGAATAATCTCTCACGACTGTGCGAAGGTATATTTGGTCTTTCCATCGCCAAAGTGATGCAGTTCAAACCAATAAAGAATAATACCGCGTTATCGAACCATTTTTGTTCGACGAACCAACGGCAGAATGCACGAAATCTATCAAAAATTATTAATACAATAATAATTATAATATTATTTTCAAATAATTACAATATTATATAAATTATAATATAAATTATTATAATAATTTACATTTATATTAATATATAATATATAAAATATTAATATATAATTAATATATAATATATAATAATATATAAATTATTATATATTATTATAATAATTTATATTATAATTTATATAATATTGTGCAATAATTTATATTATATATAAATTAAATAATATAAATTATAATATAAATTATAATATAAATTATTGTATTATAATAAAAAAAAATTAATTATTATTTAATTATTGTTTATTTATTTTAATTATCTAAGTGTAACAGTTAACAAAAACAAAAAAATAAGATAGCAAGAGAAAAATTTTATTCGAACCTGTTGTTAGGCGAAAATATATAAAGCGCATAATCGTCACGTTCTTTGAGACAACCCTTAGGTTCGAAGAACATAAAAATTTTTTTGATTCTTTCAACGCTGCTGGCACTACCGTGGCCATTTGAAGGAGGTGTTTGATCGTCGGTACGCGAATGATCGTCATCCTGATCAGGAAGAGGCTTTATTCTCGGCAGTGTTCCGGTTTCCATCGACAAATTATTTATCGTACGAGGCGTCGAGCATGGTGCCGGCATATCATCCGACACCATGCTCTTTCTACCCGTACCATGAACGTTTTCGTATCCCCTTAAAGAATTTCTTCGTGAGAGTTCCCCGATCCATCGCATCTAGTTTCAAACATATACAATTATTTTAATGAACATTATTTTTGTTAATTGTCAAAATATGATTTCAATAGATGACACATTTTATAACTTTTTTTTATGGTGTCATATTATGTGTAACTGTGATGCAAATTGGTTAAATATCAAAATTTTTTATTTGAATTAAATTCAACGCGTATTCAAAAATTGTCAATTGAATGTCAATTTTTATATGACACCAAAATAGGGTTGGTGTTCCTATCGGATGGAAAAAAAGTATTTTTTCTGAAAGCTACTCTATGATTAACAAATAAAAAATGTTTGAAGTGAAAAAATAAAAGATAGGTATAGTGTCTGATATCGATTACATCGGTATAGAATGTTTTATTTTTTTTTTTTCATTCTTTTTTTTTCTTTTACATGCCTGATTAGGCGTGGCCGTATAACGGCGCATCGATGAATCGCGGCTTTCGATGGAATTGTTAGGGCTGAGGCTGCGATTATTGCTCGTTAGGACGGTCGTTCGATTATTGGGCGCGTCGCATTGCGTGTCGTTTCTTATCGAGCCATGCAAATAACCACCGTTGAAGCTGAAAAAAGAAGAAGAAAAAAAAAGAAAAGAAATAAAAGAAAATGAGGGAGTTCGTTCGAGTGATCTCAATAAAAGCCTCTCGTGAGACACAGGGCCTCGTTAATTGAATGAATCAACAAGACGGAGTAAAAAAAAGAAATGAAGGGATGAAAAAGAAAGGAAGGAAGGCAGGAAGGAAGGAAGGAAGGAAGGAAAGAAAGAAAGAAAGAAAGAACGGTAGGTAGGACAAAGAGACAACTCTCAACGAATAAGACAAGACAACGAAGCTTGAGTAGGTATAAAAAGCTTTTACGAGACCTAACCGAGAACTATATAATAGTCAGCAAACTACTACTACTACTACTACTACTACTACTACTCTTTTTCCGTACTCACGTGTAATTGGAACCGCCAAAGGCACTTCTGCCATTGTTCAAAACGATCGTTCGACTGGCTTGTTCCTCGTCGCTTTGGGACCAACGTTTTCTTCGCAAAGATGGCCGAGACAAACGCCAGGAGTATCCTCTATGTATTCTCGGTGGACTGAGATAATACGTAGAGGAATAATAATACAAAGAGATATATACATATATATCATACATATATACATATATATATATATATATATATATATATATANATATATATATATATATATATATATATATATATATATATATATATATATAACGGGGAAATTAATCCAAATAGGAGAGGGGGAAGGATAATCAACTGAATCGAAACAATCACCAATATTATTTTACCTGGAGCTTGAGAATTCTCTCGAGGAAGGATTTACCACCGCGGTTACTAGGCTTATTCGTCTGGGAAATTGTCCGGCCATAAAATTGTTCGTTGAAAACTTGCTACCACCATTGTCTGGTAACTTTAATAATCCTGATGGTATACTACATTGACTCTGAAAATCAATATCGTTATTAAAATCTTCGATCTTTAAATAAAAATACATACATATATGTTTATATCTATCTACCGAATTAATTATGATAATGGATTGATCAAATGGGTAAAAAAATTAAAAAAGAACATATTCTAAAAATTAATAACATCATTATTAAATATTATAAGAATTAATGAATATAATGAAAAATAAATCGTACAAATAATTATTCCAGTATTATATATTTATAAATTTTTTGAATAAATTATGAATTCAAATGAAATTTTAAGATTTTCGAATTTTAAATCGGATACACATACGGTGCGTAATGCGAAAGGAAAGTAGTTAACGAGAAAATGATCAGCCTCGGGCCAAACAGAATTGTCGAGGATGATGTTGGTACACGTACAGGAACATATTCACGAGAGAAAGTTAAAAAGCGTATTGAAAGTTTACAAATTAGATTGACTATGATCGAGTACATACACCGGTCCGGTCTATCGACTCAAAGGAAAGGGTGGCAGCCGGTGGAAAAACCGCACGATAATTAAGGTCTCTGTAACCAACGTCGAGTGTTGTGTTTGGTGAGTCTTGAGGAGTGGCCGCTGTATGTGTTATTATCGGTGGTTGACCAACGCCACTCATCATTTTATTTTCCTTTTGAATATTACACTTAGGCTCGTCTATACGTTGCCTCCAACTGCTGTTCTGTTTTTCCCTACAACTGTTGTCCTTGTATTTCCTAAGTTCTTCGGCACTTTGCCAAGAATTTTTTCTTTCCTATACGAACAAACAAAATTCATCTTTTTTACAATATACTTTTGCATCATTTATTTTATTTGAATTGATAATGTGGAATAGGGAAAAGATATCAAAAGTTTTATTTGGATCATGCACATGTATTACAGCAAAATTCTTACGAATTGTGGGTTTTGATATTTTTTAATATAACGTACCTGTGTATACGTGTCACTGTCGGTAATCGAATGTGATCTCGAAACCCTTGATGATCCTTCCTCGCTACCCATTCCTGCTTCTTTTGCTGCCAATTTTGCCATCTCTCTTTGTTCTCGTTCTCTCCTTTCGTTTCTCTGTAAATGCATGACGATAATAAAGAAACGATCAAAAAAACCCTTTAACCTTTATAGATAGGTGTTACGCGTAGGTGTTTAGAAATTTCGTAATAAAAAAAGGAATAAAAAAATAAAAGAAAAAGAAGAATCAGAATAAAATGTGAAATAAATATAATAATAATAATAATAATAATAATAATAATAATAATAATAATAATAATAATAATAATAATAATAATAAGAAGATAGAAAGAAATCACGTCTCAAACTTTGTTCACATTTATTAAACAGAAATTAAAATCAACGGTGTAATTTCGTAAGCGATATAACGAAACGGTTCCAGTCTATTAATTTTCTTTAGAAAGACTTCAAGAGTAAGAGAACACGATAAGGTTTTTCGATGCCAATGGCGTAATGTCGCATTATCATGAGAGCGTAAAGTTTGCCACGCGACGTAAGAACGTGGGTAGGTTGATACATATATATATATATATATATGTGTACATGGAATGAATACATTGGCCGATCCTTAGATAGCTTTACCTACTTCTTACGGTTGAATATCCTCGTAGCAACATGGAAGGATAGGGGGGTTGGTTTGAACGTGTCTACTTTTACGGTGTTTTGTTTTATCGTCAAATCGATCGTTAAAAGGGTTTGCGCGGTTAAAATCGCGATTAAATGTTAAGGGTTGGTTGTATATCCTAAAGTTGCCTTCCTCGTTAGAATATTAACAGAATTTCGAAAGATTGAAATTAAATATTAATATATAATACTTTCCCTTTCTTTCGATTATCATTCATATCAATAATCGATGAGGCTCACCTCGGATGAGAAACCTTCCACTAGAATGGCGACTAGAAGATTGAACAGTACGTAATTTCCAAATGTCATCAGTGCTACGAAGTACAGGGCAGCCCAATGAGATGTTTTCTGCATACCATTGAAAAGTACCACGTTCCAATCTTCTTGCGTTAATATCTATTTAAAATGGATCAACCCAAAAAAAAAAGAAAACAAAAAATAGAATGGACAAAATTTGAAAAATCATTAATTCGAATAGGAAAATTTCATTGATCATTTTGGATGACATTATCGATTGGCTAAGACGAAATCAACAACTTTTGGCCATATTTTCATTCAATAATCTAATCAAATAATTTTCTCCATATCTTTTTCCTTTACTATGCGTTTTTCATCACAACAATATCCACATCACCAATATCCGTGCGTCCCGATTTAATCGTACGACCGACTTCTCAACTAGCATGGAAAAGGAGGGAATGTAAAGAAGAAGAAGATAATCAGCGTATCGGATGCCAAAGTACTATTGAAAAGCACCGAAAAGCTTCATTCGTCATTTTGAACAATCGGGGCCAAGGACGATGGAGAAATTTGTTTTAAATTTTTGGAACCGGCCTGACACGTTCATATTTCCATATCTGGCCTCGGTTACAAAAACGTATTGCCAATCGATATCGTCTCCTTTTCAGCATATATATACATGCTGAAAGCAATCGCGTACCACGAATTTCTCTCTTTCTCTCTACATATATATATACATATACATATTTACGTGTATATATATTGTGTGCGTGTGTATGTGTGTGTATACGTTTGTATATTATAACGTATATACGTGAACATTCTTTATGAGATTTTCGTTTATCCTTGTTTTCTTCTTCCACCTCCACCTCCACCCACCCCATCCTCCCTTCATTTCCTCTGTTCCACTGTAACCACAATCACCACAGTATCGTCAAGCAAACAAAGCAAGGCAAAACCCTCTCTCTTTGTTTCATATTTAGATTGGTCGTTTCTTTCACATTCCGTATATCATCTACTTACCTTATGTTATATCGTTTCCTTGCATTCAAAAGTTCTACGTAAAATACCCCTATGTAGATTTTTTCTTTTTATTCCTTACAAGAATCATTCGTTCGAATTTTTATTCTTGACACGTGATAACTGATGAAAAAACGAATAAATTGCTTTCTATGTGTGTGTGTGTTTTTTTTTACTTTATTTTTTATCTTTATTCTTCTTCTTCCTTTTTTCTTTTTTCTCTCTTTCTCTCTTCCAAATATCAAACCTTGTAATAAGTTGGATTGTGTGCATTGAAAATATTTCATAAACTTTGCTTTCTTTTTCTTTTTTTTCTTTGCCTCTTTTCCGCATTTCTCCAAGTTCGAATCGAATTTTTAATTCCAATTTGACATAAACACACACACACACATAATACAAAAAAAAATTTTAACAAATAAAAAAGAATTTGTATTCGTATTAATCCGTGGAACAAGAATGGGGTGCACTTTTAATAAGCAACTCCACGGATTTTTCTTTTCGTGATACCAAATAAAATGCACCTTCTTTTTTTAGGTTTTTTTTCCTAGGAACATCGTGAGCGGAAAAAATAAAATTTCACGAATATTCACCCGTTCTCATTCTCTCTCTCTCTCTCTCTCCCTCTCTCTCTTTCTCTTTTTCATCCGTTGTACGTTAGCTTTCAGCTTCTCAAACTTTTTACGAGTAGTTCATATACTTAAAACGATACAAAAGCTTTTTCATGTGGTCGGACGAAAGTATTATATTTTTGTTCTTCCTTCTTGTTTTTTTTTCTTTTATTTTTTTTTCTCTTGTGATTTAGTCGTCCCGCATACGAAGAGAACAATTTCACTACAAACGAAAAAAAAGGATTCAAAAGCTTCAGGAAAGACTGCTGCTTGCTTTTTTTTCTTCTTCCTTTTTTTAATTATTTTTCTTAACTATAACGTTAATCTAATGAACATGTAATTGGATCTTGTGAAACATAGAAAGATATTACGAGTAACAAATTTTTTGTTTTTTATCAATTTGTTTTTCAATTTGTCAATTGATTAAACCAATAGGAGAGAAATTCGTGGTATTTTGATGAAAAAATTCATTCATAATGAATAAATGGTTCATTACCGCGAAAGCAAATAGTTTAGATAAGAGGCAAGGATACGTAATATGATCAAAGACAAAGATAGATTAAAATGAGAGAAAGAGAAAGTAAGATAGGAAAGCAAGAGAGAAAAAGAAATGCGGAAAAATCTCAGATAGATGTGAATTACAGATGAAAGAACAGAGAAATAGAAATAGGAATAGATATATAGATATAGATATAGATGTAGATATAGATATAGATATAGATATAGATATAGATATAGATATAGATATAGATATAGATATAGATATAGATATAGAAATAGAAATAGAAGAAAAGCGAGAGTAAGATGTGCGGTCAATGAATGTACTAAGAATAATCGATAGAATAGCAATTATAAACATAATAATAATTTAAATAATAACAATAATAATAAAAATAAAAATAAATCATTTTTTTTATACAAATTTAAACCGTATAATAACAATAATAATAATCATAATAATAATGTGTTTGGGTATTGTATATATATGTATATATACAGGTATTTTTTTGTATATGTGTATATATAAATATATGTAAATACTATTAAATATATTTAGTTTATAACAGGGAGAAAAGAAGTTAGAAGAAGAAGTAGAGAAGAAGTAGAAGTAGTAATAGAATAAGAAGAAAAATAGATTAAAAAAAATTATCTAGAATATGGTTTGGGGGATCTAATTGGTGATACCTGAAAGACCGTGACAAGGGCCCAGACGATGTCGTTGAAATGTTTGCGATCACAGCGACACATCGGGTGCCGTGAGACCACCTCGGCACAGGTGCAGGGCCGACTCCGGTCCGCCCACATGCAAAACTTACCCCCGAACAGGTACATTCCTAGGATGCTGCAACCGAGACAATCCGCCGGCCTAAATTTACCACCGTAACAGTAATCGACGGTAATCGGGATAGATTGTAGAAAGAGAGAAAGAGAAAGAGAGAGAGAGAGAGAGAGAGAAATAGAGAAAAAGAGGAAAAGATTAGATAAATAGATAGATAGAGAGAGAAAGAAATAGAAAGTTAAAGTTAAAGTGAAAGTGAAGATATAGAAAGAAAAAGAATCAGAAGGAAGAAAAAGGAATAAAAGAGGAAATGGGAAAAAGATTCTTTTTTTTATTCTTTTTTTTTCGGTATTGGAATTCGTTTCTATGGAATTTTGTTAGGATTTTTCGATAAAAATTCTTCGAACCACGACGAGTTGTCACGCGAAGTGTCTCTGCTCCTATTCGCCGTTCTCGTTGTTGCAATGGGTCCTTTTTTTGATCCTTCGAACCTCCTTCGAGGAACTAGAGACTTAACTACTAAGCGTAATTATAACGTGGAAATAATAATAAATAATACTTACATATGCAGTGTGGCCCACGATAACTACCATTTTGTTTTTTGTTTTTTTGCTAACATTTAACCGTGGGCCACCCCGTCGTATGTATAGAAATATTTAATAATGTTTTCTACTGTAATAATTGTAATAATTGTTTTAAAATGAGAAATTTCATTTGGACGGCGTTTAATTATTTATAAAAGGTATAACGAGTCACAGGAGTATTCGTACTCAAACCCTTAACCCACTTTCTACTTCCTTCATTGTAAATTTTTGAAATCATTGATATTTGTAATGCAAACTTTTCTAATTCTAATAAGCAAAATTAAATTGACAAATTGATGTCAATTTTATTGGAACATCAAATTTGTCTTATAAAGTAAGAACATTTTTATATTTTTTATTATAAAATGTCCCTTATGCAATAAAATTGATATCAATTTGAAACATTATAATAATTCTAAAATATGCTATTGCAAATAATAATATGTCTATATAATATCGTATTAAATTGACAGTAAGTGGTACGAATACTTATGGGACTCATCGTGTATGACATACTTTAAAATCTAATATCTCTACAATGTCAAAGATTAAAACATAAAAGCGTATCAATATTGTCTAGTAATTGTATTGTTCGTAAGCGTGTGTCAAGCCGTATAATCTCGTCTAATCGTGTCTAGTTTAAACTGTTATAGAACTTTGTTCAATTTCAACAAGTTAGATAATTAAAAGCGTGACCAATTTTGTGTCTTAAGTTTTGTTGAACTTGTTGAATTAGATTTTGAGTATTTGGTTAATACGAGCACGTTATAACAATATTTCCTCGAATCGAAATAATAATAATAATAATAATAATAATAATAATAATAATAATAATAATAATAATAATCTTTCGTGTATTTGTTTAAATCGAAGGATCATTCTAAAAAACAAAATAAAATATCATGAGACTGGCGAGATAAATAACGATTTGTTAAAAAAGAGCAAAGACCCTTCACTGACAGAAACATTTGAAAAGAAATGTAAATAAGTATATTGGTAAAGTACAGTGAAACAAAAAAAGAGGAATTTAGCACGAAGCTCGGATACGGTTAACATTCCGCAGGATTAGCACGAGTGTCTGCGTTTTAAGTTTAATTCAAATAGGTTTAAATATAGACATAATATAATATTATATACGTCTATCCCATATATAGTATATAAAACTACAATTATATATAGTCGTGTTGGAAAAGTGAATATGATTGTGATATCTGTTGAAACAAAGTAAATATTGAATATTTAAGATACGAGTATATATGTATATGTGTATATATATATATATATATATATATATAGATATTAGATTCGTCAATTGATGCGTGCAAACTGCGTGAAATAGAGCAACAAATGTAACGATCGTCAACTGGATATATCACTGTTTGATTTGTGGTATGCAGTTCGAGTCATTGCGTTTAACGATGATAGATAGGTATACCCAACATAAACATCAACGATGACCGAATATTGGTATATCCAACATAGTAATGTACATAAGGGTACTTCGCATTAGCGTATCATATTCTAAAACGATAACGTTCATTTTAACCATTTTCAATATTGGTCTGACTTTATTGTATGTTTCTTTTTTTATTAATGAATCATTTAAACGATATCAACGAAATGAATGGTTCTATCAATAAATATAAATTATACATATATTAACAAAAACAAATAAAAAAAAAACAATGTATATTATAAAATAATTATTTTACTTTAATTTTGTTTATTTAATCGATCGTTAAAAAAGGAAACTTAACGAATGAATTCTTTTATTCGTGTCTGACCATTAACGGGTTTATCTACTGAGACAGTAGTTCAAGTTTCGTATTGATTAGACTAAGTTCTATATTTTCTTACGTTAAATAAAGATTATTAAGAGTTTAGAAAAAAAAGTCAAAGTAATAGGATACGCTAAAGTTTAGCTTATTTGTGTGGGTACATAAGGATAATATACATATGGCTCCGACACAGAGACACACAAACACACAAATATTATTCTTATACGACTGATGAACGTTCAACGAGAACTCCAATTTCAAAATGTTTTATGTGTTTTAATGTATATTTACGATATCAAACATCGGCAACATAGACAATTTTGCATGAAGATCAGGGATGGGGGTTTATGGGTAAGGTATGGAAAACGATTATAAATACACGCAGCTTTTGTGGTTCCGTATAACACGTAGACACATTTCAAAGGATTTAGCAGAAATCAATGGAACAATAGAAAACATTGGCCGTTCGCAAAAATATCAGAAAATGATATACGTTCATCAGAAAGCTATAAAATTTAATATAAATATAATCTATATATGTATACATATAAATAATATACAGAGTGTCCTTAACAGTAAATGATTTAAGTAAATGAAAAATTAAATCGAAAATGTAGGATATCAATTTGTTCGTCTAAGACTTTATTTTTAAGAAAAATAATTTTGGAAGTTCGTCGAGTTGGTGAGTGCACTTGATTGAGCTTGCAACCTTGGAAAACTAAAAACTTTGTTCGATAAGCATAAAAGTTGAACCGATACAAGATATATCATTATACTGTTACAATGCTTCTAAATATATTAAAAAGCAAAATATATTTTCCGATATATTTGACAATAAAATTTGTCGAACTAAAAGTAATTTAACTATTCTTAAAATTTAAAAAAATAAATACAACAATCACTTATATAAATAAATTGTATTCTACATTTTTGATTTAGTCTTTCATATAGAATCACCTACTGCTTTTTTGTACCGCCACAGTTAAAGGACACCGTGTATAATTAAATATATTTATAATGTAATTAATACAATTGATAAAAATGGAAACAAAAGTAACATTAATTTGATTATTTTCTTTTTTTGTGTGTGATACTGTACAGACTTGAAATTAATGAACACAAGATGAATAATTATCGGAACTTTGTGATATTACTGATTAGTGGATGTGTATCGCATAAATATTGAGAAAGGGATTAAAGGATTTCTTGATTACGTGTTTACCTAAAGACATTAACTCGTACGTACTTACGTACTCGTTGAGATACGCGAAATGCGAAAGTTTGCACGTTGATATTTAGGTTGATGATGTTGGTGGTTTCGTTTGAGAAGAGCGCGATAGCTTCCGATTTTTTCTTTAAATCATCATTTTTTAATCGTGTTTAACGTGTAACCTTTTGGAAGATATTTATTACGTTTAATACGTTCGAATTCAAGGTAAAAGAGAAAGAGAGAAAGAAATTGGAGGATAAAAAGAAGGGAATACTTAAAAGATAATTTATAATTAGAGAAGAGAAACAGAGAAACAGAGAGAGAAAGGAAAACAGAAAAATAGAAAAAGATAGATAGATAGAATCAAAGGTAATTGGAAATATTAGAAAGACAAGGGGAATCGTATCAGTGTAAATACGACTCTAATTGGTTTAAATTGTAAAAAAAAAAAAGAAGAAAAGATAAAACAAAAGATATGTAGGAAATAGTACGAAGCCAAGTCTTCTTCCTTTTTTTTTTCAGTCCATCATAACGTCATTAAGCCTATTGATTTTCTTTCAAATAGGTGCTGTTAATCGTGTCCGATCGAAAATTTTCTACATCAAAGACTCAATCGAAAAGAAAACGCGCTCTGGTATTATATTACATAAATACATATATGTATACATATGTATATGCATGTATCTCGTGTCTCGTTCGACTTACGGGTGAATAATTTAGTGATCCTGTTAAGAGTGTAGCGGATGTTGATACCCTTTAGTGAAAATCTATATATGTATATGAATTTAGTCTATAGTATTTAATATACTATTACATATACGTGTCTGTAAAAGAAATATTGAAAGATAGAATAAGATAGATATATCAGTATTAAAAAAGTGAATGATAAGTATATATATGTAAATATAGGTAGATAAAAAGATATAGTGGTAAAGATACAGAGATAAAAAGAGAGATAAAAAGAGAGAGAAAGATAGAAAGAGAGAGAAAAGAAAAAGATTAGCGACAAAAGCGAAAGAAATAGAAATAGAGAAAGATAGAGAGAGATAGAACTATCGTAAAAAAACTGCGAAAGAAGAAAACACACGTCTAAGGATAGACACAAAAAGTACAACAACAACAACAACATTAACAATAACAATAACAATAACAACAACATCAAATAACAACAGTGAGATAAAAAAGAACATGCAAAGCTGCAAATAGGAGACATATAATCGATCCAATAGGATTTTCTTTTTTTTATATTTTTTGTTTTCTTTTGTTTCTTTTCGTAGGGGAATTGGGTTTTTTACTTTGCCTTCTTTCTTGATTCAATTAACGTGTTCGAAACATTATTAAAATGTCGAAAAGGGTGCCGCCCCCCCCCAAAAAAAAAGAAGAAAAAATATTTTATGAACGTTTACGTTGCGGCCAATCCCCTGTTTGAGTGGTTGAAGGGAGAAAGGAACGGTGGGAAGGGCTTTTAATGGAAATATCATTCGCGTGACT